AAGAGCTGATTGTATTTAATACAGTGGACCCCCGCTTTACGATCACCTCCCAAGCGACCAATTATGTAATGTTATTTGTGTAAGTGCGCTTTGTACGTGAGTTTGGGGTCTGAAATGGACTAATCTATTCACAATATCCTTATGGGAACAGATTCGTTTCAGTATTTCACCTGAACATTACTATTGGAATGAAATAATATCGTTAACACGGGTTCCACTGTACAGTGGACCCCCGCATAACGATTACCTCCAAATGTGACCAATTATGTAAGTGTATTTATGTAAGTGCATTTGTACGTGTATGTTTGAGGGTCTGAAATGGACTAATCTACTTCACAATATTTCTTATGGGAACAAATTCGGTCAGTACTGGCACCTGAACATACTTCTGGAGTGAAAAAATATTGTTAACCAGGGGTCCACTGTATATGTATCCATGGAAGCAGAACTAAGTTTATGATCTCCCATCTTAAGCCTTAAACTGTCCAAACAAATTTACATTCACATGTGTGGTGCTCCGAAAGTAGATTACGTTTTTTTTACATATTTTCAAATATAATAAAAAAAAGTAGATGAAAGTTTTTTTTACACGTTTTCAAATGTAAAAAAAAGAAAAGAAGATCTACTTTTTTTTACATACTTTTAAATGTTGAAAAAACGTAGATCTACGTTTGGGCAGTTTATGGGTTAAGTATTTTGCTTATCATAAAGGATCCCTGAAGGATACCTAGTCCCAGACCAGGCCTCCTTTTGGATCAGAGTCTGATCAACCAGGCTGTTATTGCTGCCCACACACAGTCCAAAGTATGAACCATAGCCCAGCTGATTGTGAACTAACTTGGACTTTGCTAAAAAAAAAAAAAAAATACTGTACTATCTCACAGTTTTATTCTTAATGGTGCATAACTGTACAGTACTGGACTTGCAACTACAATATTGGTGCTCAAAAATACGGTACTATCTGATAATAATAATACAGTGGACCCCCGGTTAACAATATTTTTTCATTCCAGAAGTATGTTCAGGTGCCAGTACTGACTGAATTTGTTCCCATAAGAAATATTGTGAAGTAGATTAGTCCATTTCAGACCCCCAAACATACACGTACAAACGCACTTACATAAATACACTTACATAATTGGTCGCATTCGAAGGTGATCGTTATGCGGGGGTCCACTGTACTTTATTTTGGCATGATACAGTGCTTATACAAAGGTGAATGACATTTATGTATGCATAGAGAAAGTCCCTTAACCCGTAAACGGTCCAAGCAGATCTACGTTCACATGTGTAGAGTTACAAAAGTAGATCTACGTTTTTTTACATATTTTAAAATATATATATAAAAAAAATTAGATCAAAGTTTTTTTTACACATTTTCAAATGTAAAAAAACAAAAAGAAGATCTACTTTTCTTACATATTTTCAAATGTTGAAAAAACGTTTATATACGTTTGGACCGTTTACGGGTTAATATGCAAACATTTCGAGTATGTAACTGTACAGTACCAAACTTGTAACTACAACATTGGTAATTCACTCACCAATACTCACATAGTTTGTTATATTAACAATATCACAGGATGCTTATTTAAGTACATTATATTTCGCAATCAAATTTCTGATTCTTTTCTGTCATCTCTATGAATCTGCAAGGTTTCATGTTGATAGAAAGTCTGTGAAAGTAGAGCCTGTGAATGAGGTGGCTGTGGGATATTTGTGAATTGTTGCAGCCACAGTATTGTGGGATATTTGTGAATTGTTGCAGCCACAGTATTGTGGGATATTTGTGAATTGTTGCAGCCACAGTATTGTGGGATATTTGTGAATTGTTGCAGCCACAGTATTGTGGGATATTTGTGAATTGTTGCAGCCACAGTATTGTGGGATATTTGTGAATTGTTGCAACAACAGTATTGTGGGATATTTGTGAATTGTTGCAGCCACAGTATTGTGGGATATTTGTGAATTGTTGCAACAACAGTATTGTGGGTAGTTGTGAATTGTTGCAAACAACAGTATTGTGGGATAGTTGTGAATTGTTGCAACAACAGTATTGTGGGATATTTGTGAATTGTTGCAACAACAGTATTGTGGGATAGTTGTGAATTGTTGCAACAACAGTATTGTGGGATATTTGTGAATTGTTGCAACAACAGTATTGTGGGATATTTGTGAATTGTTGCAGCCACAGTATTGTGGGATAGTTGTGAATTGTTGCAGCCACAGTATTGTGGGATATTTGTGAATTGTTGCAGCCACAGTATTGTGCGATAGTTGTGAATTGTTGCAGCCACAGTATTGTGGGATATTTGTGAATTGTTGCAGCCACAGTATTGTGGGATAGTTGTGAATTGTTGCAGCCACAGTATTGTGGGATATTTGTGAATTGTTGCAACAACAGTATTGTGGGTTGTAAATTGTTGCAACAACAGTATTGTGGGATAGCTGTGAATTGTTGCAGCCACAGTATTGTGGGGTAGTTGTAAAATATTGCAACAGCAGTATTGTGGGATAGTTTTGAATTGTTGCAGCTACAGTATTGTGGGTTGTGAATTGTTGCAGCCATGGCATTGAGATATTTCTTCTTGACTCAGGTATAGAGTACCACAGCGGGAGATGGAGAGACGAGGTGGAGACAGAACACAGCCTCTACGAACACCAACCATGGCCGGAGGATTATTTGCCATCGACAAGGATTACTTTGAGAAGATTGGTCGCTACGATGAAGGCATGGATATATGGGGAGGAGAAAATCTGGAAATGTCATTTAGGGTAAGTTTTTCTTTGCTGGAAATAAGTACGAATGGTTATCTAATCAGAAAGCTGTATCTATAGTATTAATATATTAAATTTAAATTTAATATGTATATTTCATAGAGAAGTTTAGCTAGCTCAAATATGCTGAATATATTAGGTTGTTAAATGTTTAATATTCTTCCATATTATTTATAAGTGTAATTGTATGATTTAATGTAATGTGACTTTTCGAGTGCGACTTTTCGAGTGCGACTTTTCGAGTGCGACTTTTCGAGTGCGACTTTTCGAGTGTGACTTTTCGAGTGTGACTTTTGAAGTGCGACTTGTACAGTGCCATCAGTTACTGATGATTGAATACCATTGATATATAAGATGTCATCAGTTATTCAACAGCAGAGTATATTAATTAATGACGACTACTTCATAAAAATGAAAGAGGGATTTAAAAGATGGGGGAACAAGAAAGAAATAATGAAGAAGAACGTCTCTCCTATCTTTTAAATCTCTCTCACTTTTATAAATCTTCTCTTATTGCTTCCAGGCATATAAAAACCAGTTTCACTTTGCACATAAATAGTATACAATACCAACAGGATAAAAATTAGACACGAGCAAAGTCTGGGTATCTTTACTGTAGACATTTGCCGTCCAGTGGCTTAATATACAGATTCAAGGACAATGGAAGACGGTAGAACTATATACAGTGGAACCTTGGTTTTTATATGCCCTAGCTTGTTTGTAAAACTATAGTTATTCTCCATAAAATGTATTTTTTGTTAATATTTTTGGCAAGACAGTGATGGAGTGAATGATGGTGAAAGTTTTTCTTTTTCGGGCCACCCTGCCTTGGTGGGAATCAGCCAGTGTGATAATAAAAAAAAAAAAAATTTTTGGATGTCTGGAATGGATTAATTAAATTTACATTATTTCTTATGGGAAATAACAAAAAATACATTTTATAGAGAATAACTATAGTTTTACAAACAAACTAGGGCATACAAAAACTTTGGTTCCACTGTACAAAAGACGAGGTGATCAGTCCCTCAGTCTTGGAGTTGGTGAAGACCACCGTAGTCTTGAAGACTCTGAAGCACGGCAAGAAGGTTGGCACTTGTATACTGGCATCAGGTGAGGGACGTGTAACAGACAAAGGCATTGTTGCTGGTAGGTGGGATTACCCAGTGGAAGTAGGTCATACCTGAGGAATAGGTTTCGAATCTTGGAGCCCGGCCATGGAGCAGGCTCGTCTGGTGCTAGCCCTTAGTTAAGATTGTGGAGGTGTCCTCTGAACCAAGATTTCGTGATGTTGCAGTGTTTGACAAGTCTGTACACAAATGGTATACAATACCGATAAAATTTTGGTGTAGATTTTTGTCAGCCACCTGTCAGTTGATCAGCGTTTCTGTCTGAATTAGCACAAAGCACGTGCGGTTTTACACATTTGGAGAGTGGTGAACATACATTTTTGGGGCCCTGAAATTTGAACTGTTATAGAGGCCCCTTCACAATCAGCAACAAGGTCTGGGTAACCACTATTATCTTCAGTGGGGTAATTATTTTAACTATTGTTTTCTATTGAATTATGCTATACAGTGGACCCCCGGTTTATGATATTATTTCATTCCAGAAGTATGTTCAGGTGCCAGTACTGACCGAATTTGTTCCCATAAGGAATATTGTGAATTAGATTAGTCCATTTCAGACCCCGAAACATACACGTACAAACGCACATAAATACACTTACATAATTGGTCGCATTGGGAGCTGATCGTAAACTGGGGGTCCACTGTATTATTATTTTTAAAATCCCTCCTCATACAGTAGACCAAAAATTTTTAAACAATGCAGACTAAAGTCACTTCTGGGGCCCCTCCAGGATCAGGGGCCCCTCCAGGATCAGGGGCCCCTCCAGGATCAGGGGCCCCTCCAGGATCAGGGACCCTCAAGCTTAAGCATCATTAGTTTCAGAGTAGCTTTTTTATTTATTTTTTGTTTTGCCTTTTATTTGTGTTGCATGGTTGCAAGATGAGATTTTTCATAATGCAACAGTTCTAAGAATACAGTGAACTGTCTTATAAAGTTCCTGTAAGTTATGCAATTTTTGGGAAATGTTATTTAAAAAAGGCATTGAAAACTGAAAATATACAAAAAGACTTTTATTATACATAATGTTCAATTTTGGATGCACTTTTTTCAATTGCATTTGCAAAATGTTGCACTATATATATATTTGCTTTGCAAGAGATCTTACTGTATATAAAAAATCACCAGCATATAGAATTTAAGTTATTGCAAAAACTTTAGTGAGGTTATGTTATTACAAAAGACTCTAAAAAGGTATTTTATGTTATTGCAAAAGATTTTAATGAATGAGGGTTGGACAGAATAATATAAAAACCTTGTTATTATCGCTTTTTATTTTCAATATGGAGTTGTTCCTCCATTTGTACCAATTTGGCAAGAAATTGATTCATATAGCATTTAAACAGCATCCAGTGGAATTTTTGAGCTATTCCTCAAGCAAAATCTGTTCAAACTCTTCCTAAGACAACAATGGAGGAAATCGGTTCCTGACTTGCTGTTGCAGTTGACCACATAGATGCTCCATAATACTATTTAGATCCGGTGATTGTAGGGGTCAGTCCAAGTGTTCGACTTCACTTTCATGTTCTTCATGATAATTTTGAGCAACTCTAGCGGTGTGAGCTGGTACATTATTGTCTTGGAAGATGACACATGTAAATTGATTATTAAGTCGTTCAACAGTTCGACATGTTGTATAGTGGTACCTTGAGTTACGAACTTAATTCGTTCTGGAAGACTGCTCGAGTGCCGATACTGAACGAATTTGTTCCCATAAGGAATAATGTAAATTAGATTAGTCCGTCTCAGACTCCTTTCAAAAATACACTTACATAATTGTTCGAGTTGGGAGCTGTTCGAAACTCGAGGTACCACTGTATTAATGTTGGTAGAATTACCAGCAATATGCTAGGTAAAAGGACACAAGAGCAACTAATGTGACATTTTATTGTAGCAATGTTTTGCTTTACAGGAACTTTGTCAAGCCTTTGACAAAGTTCCTGGAGAGCAAAACGCTTCCACAATAAAATGTCACGTTAGTTGCACTTGTGTCCTTTTTACCTAACAATAGTTCAATCAGCAGGTGTTCATATTATTTTGTCCAAAAGACTTTAGTGAGGTAATTTATGAGATAGTGTAATGGTATGGTGACCTGGGCGGTGTTCAGATCTGGCAGTGTGGAGGCACGCTGGAGATCATCCCCTGCTCACATGTTGGTCATGTGTTTCGGGACAAGTCACCTTATTCCTTCCCGGGAGGCGTCGTCAACGTGGTCATGAAGAATTCGGCCCGTGTGGCTGAGGTCTGGATGGACGAGTGGCGAGACTTTTTCTTTGAGATGAATCCAGGTACCCCCCACCCCCCTCCCCTAGGTCTTTTCTGCCTAGGTTCCTGCCAAATACCCACTAAGACCTAACCTAACCTACCAAACAGGCTGATGATGACCCTCAGTGATTCACCTCTCACCAGACAAGACCCATCACAAGGTCACTATTAACACTTTCTTACAGGGCTGTATAGAAGACTTTCACTCATTTTCCTTGGCTGCAAAAACCTTAAAAAGACAGCATTCTCTCTCTCTTTAAAGTCTCCTACAGACATAATAAACGCTGTGATCATATAACGTAAAGGTATGTAATCTTCTCTGTTTTTTTTTTTTTGCCTGCTTTCTCATAATCTCCACATGATAACTACTGCGTTGCCAACAAGTATTCAAGTCGCCTTTTGTAAATATTGTCTGCATATCTTGAGCAGTGATGCTGGTAGTGGTGAATGCAGATACATAAATGCGATTGTTTACAGGGTAGGTGATGAGCCGAATGAAAAATATTTAAATACAGTTACAATATCCTGGATCAGAAGAAGCGCTTGTACTGGCATGGGTAAACTTCCATGGAGAAAATAAAACAGATGATATGTATATACATGAAATGATAAATTCAGTTTGTGTCATGGAGATCGATCTTTCACAAATCATGAGATACACAAATTACTCTGTCAGGCTTCCACATTTGAAGATGGGAAGAGTTTTTGTGCATTTCAACCTAAAATCTACTACAGTAGTGTATATTTTAGCCTACAGTAGTGTATATGTGAACCTACAATTGAGGTCCTCTTCAGTAGTGCGATATATTGCTTATGTACAGCATATATTGATCTGCAACTGGGGTTGTCTAGAGCAAAAAAATAACTTCAATTCCAGATTGTTTCTTATTTCCTCCATTTGGATTTGTTTATGCCATTTATTTGAATTCCACTTTGTGTTTAGTCATAATAAATTTTTTAAATGATATAATTAAATATGTCCAGAATGTTGTAAATGCATACCACCAATACTAACAAAATTGATATTGCATTACTACTCTTATAAGTGCATCTCTTACTAACACATATTTGATATCCTTACAGATATAGTTTTAGTTTAGTAGATAAAAATTTTATTGGATGTTACTGAAGGAAGATTCTGAGTCCTCTATTATCAATTATATATTTTTAATGCAGAATTTTTGACCATTTAAATTGAAAATAAAAATTCGTAACACCATATTTTCCGGCATGTAAGGTGCACGAGCATATAAGACAGCATTTCCAAGCAGTTATAACATAATGTTAGTAAACAGCTGCTAAAGTGTAACACAAGACTTAACCTTGACCCTGACCTTGAGCATATAAGGTGCAGGATGATTTTCCAAGACTTTTTGTGGGAAAAAATGCGTGCTTTATATGCCAGAAAATAGTATACGTATAGTGGTTTTGTTTGTAAGTGGGAAGTGGTCTAATTATTTTTTATGTTGATAATATATGCTCAGAATACCTGAAAGCAATAGCCACAATATATACACTAAGTTGAGAACTGTATAGATGTTAAATATAGCAGCTTTGGGAGGTGGTGGACTACCGAGTACATGCTTAGCCATGGCCTGGGTGTGGAGGTTCTTGGGTGTGAGGTACAGGCTGTATATGGGACTCCCACCAGTCACACTAGCAACCTCTCCCAGCACCGCTTGGCTCACGTGAGGCTGACTCATCATCCTACAGGTGTGGATGTGTGGAGGGACGCTAGAGATCTCCACTTGTTCCCACGTGGGTCACGTGTTCCGCAAGTCCACCCCTTACACGTTCCCAGGGGGCACTTCCAAAATTGTTAACAAAAACAACGCGCGTCTCGCCGAGGTGTGGTTGGACGACTGGAAAGAATTCTATTACAGCATTAACCCAGGTCAGGCTGCATGCTTGCCTCCCACCCTGGCCTCTTGCACGTGCCTCATACCATCACCACCATTGCTTCTTCACCCCAACTCAGTGGCAAATTAATATGGCAAAAGAGGCAGTTGCCTCTGGACACCCAGATATGAGAGGGGCCCCAAGGCTACATTTTTGTACAAAATTGCTTTAATGGAACAAAAGAAACAATTTTGATACAGGTGCTCCTTGATTTATGATGGAGTTATGTTCCAAAGAACCCATCATAAGTTGAAAATACAATAAGTTGAATTTGAATATATGATAAATTAATAAATAAATAACTGCTGACAATGATAGTAAATACAAATATTACGTAACGTACATTCAGTAGTCTAAAAGTAAATATATGAATATAAGATACTTATCAATAAATGTATAGTAATGTACTGAAGGCTATCTACGCACCATGTAAAGTCAAAATACACAAATAACCCGCACTAAAAGACGAAGCTTACGACGACGTTTCGGTCCGACTTGGAATTGACAAAGTCACGGACTATGTATGTCCAAGTCGGACCGAAAGTCGTCAAGCTTCTGTTTATGTGCGGGTTATTTGTGTACGTCATCCGTATTGTGCCTTTTTGTATTTAAAGTCAAAATATCGTAAGTTGAACCATTGTAAAATGAGGAGCATCTGTGCTTGTAATTTTAAAATGCATCAATTTTTTTCAATTTTAAGCATGTACAGTAAACTCTTGATATAATGGAGTCATAGAGGACATTGTCTGAGTGTCTCTAATCAGAATAATACGTATTAAAAAAGGATCCCAGAAGTGGGTTGAAATATACAGATGAGTTAATCTTTTGAGTTTCTGTCTCCATGTGGGTTATTATTGAGCACTGACAAGTGTTCATTATACTTCCTTTAATAATTCGTACATAAAAATTCAGAGCAGTACTATACTGTATACAATAAGTCCTTGACTTACGAACATGTTAAGAATTTTCTGTATTGCGCATAAATTTTTTTTTTTTTATTACAACAAACCAGCTGTATCCCACCAAGGCGGGGTGGCCCATAAAGAAGAACAAAAGTTTCTCTTTTTAAATTTAGTGAATTTATACAGGAAAAGGTTACTAGCCCCTTGCTCCCGGCGTTTTAGTCACCTCTTACAACATGCATGGCTTACGGAGGAAGAATTCTGTTCCACTTCTCTATGGAGATAAGAGGAAATAGACAAGAACAAGAACTAGAAAGAAAATAGAAAAAACCCAGAGGGGTGTGTATATATATGCTTGTACATGTATGTGTAGTGTGACCTAAGTGTAAGTAGAAGTAGCAAGACGTACCTGAAACCTTGCATGTTTATGAGACAGAAAAATGGACACCAACAATCCTACCATCATGTAAAACAATTACAGGCTTTCGTTTTACACTCACTTGGCAGGACGGTAGTACCTCCCTGGGTGGTTGCTGTCTACCAACCTACTACCACAGGATGGTAGTACCTCTCTGGGTGGTTGTTGTCTACCAACCTACTACCACAGGATGGTAGTACCTCCCTGGTGGTTTTTTGTCTACCAACCTACTACCACAGGACAAATAGTACCTCCCTGGGTGGTTGTTGTCTACCAACCTACTACCACAGGATGGTAAGTACCTCCCTGGGTGGTTGTTGTCTACCAAACCCACTACCATTGGATGGTAGTACCTCCCCGGGTGGTTGTTTGTCTACCAACCTACTACCACAGGATGGTAGTACCTCCCTGGGTGGTTGTTGTCTACCAACCTACTACCATAGGATGGTAGTACCTCCCTGGGTGGTTGTTGTCTACCAAACCCACTACCACAGGATGGTAGTACCTCCCTGGGTGGTTGTTGTCTACCAACCTACTACCACAGGATGGTAGTACCTCCCTGGGCAGTTTTGTCTACCAACCTACTACCACAAAGGGTGGTAGTACCTCCCTGGGGGGTTGTTGTCTACCACCTACTAAACCCCAGGATGGTAGTACCTCCCTGGGCAGTTGTTGTCTACCAACCTACTACCACAGGATGGTAGTACCTCCCTGGGTGGTTGCTGTCTACCAACCTACTACCAAGGATGGTAGTACCCCCCTGGGCAGTTGTTGTCTACCAACCCCCACTACCACAGGAGGTAGTACCTCCCTGGGGAGTTGTTGTCTACCAACCTACTACCACAGGATGGTAGTACCTCTCTGGGCAGTTGTTGTCTACCAACCTACTACCACAGGACGGTAGTAAACCCCCCTGGGTGGTTGTTGTCTACCAACCTACTACCACAGGATGGTAGTACCTCCCTGGGTGGTTGTTGTCTACCAACCTACTACCCACAGGGTGGTAGTACCTCCCTGGGTGGGTTTTTGTCTACCAACCTACTACCACAGATGGTAGTACCTCCCTGGGTGGTGTTGTCTACCAACCTACTACCACAGGATGGTAGTACCTCCCTGGGGGGTTGTTGTCTACCAACCTACTACCACAGGATGGTAGTACCTTTCCCCGGGTGGTTGTTGTCTACCAACCTACTACCACAGGATGGGGAGTACCTCCCTGGGGGGTTGTTGTCTACCAACCTACTACCACAGGATGGTAGTACCTCCCTGGGTGGTTGTTGTCACCAACCTACTACCACAGGATGGTAGTACCTCCCTGGGTGGTGTTGTCTACCAACCTACTACCACAGGATGGTAGTTTCCCCCCTGGGTGGTTGTTGTCTACCAACCTACTACCACAGGATGGTAGTACCTCCCTGGGTGGTTGTTGTCTACCAACCACTACCACAGGATGGTAGTACTCCCTGGGTGGTTGTTGTCTACCACCTACTACCACAGGATGGGAGTACCTCCCTGGGTGGTTGTTGTCTACCAACCTACTACCCCAGGATGGTAGTACCTCCCCGGGTGGTTGTTTTTCTACCAACCCCACTACCACAGGACAGTAGTTTCCTCCCTGGGGGGGTTGCTGTCTACCAACCTACTACCACAGGACGGGAGTACCCCCTGGGTGGTTGTTGTCTACCAACCTACTACCACAGGACGGTAGTACCTCCCTGGGTGGTTGTTTTTCTACCAACCTACTACCACAGGATGGTAGACCCCCCCGGGTGGTTGTTGTCTACCAACCTACTACCACAGGACGGTAGTACCTCCCTGGGCAGTTTGCCGTCTACCAACCTACTACCACAGGATGGTAGTACCTCCCTGGGTGGTTGTTGTCTACCAAACCCACACCACAGGACGGTAGTACCTCCCTGGGTGGTTGTTTGTTACCAACCTACACCACAGGACGGTAGTACCTCCCTGGGCAGTTGCTGTCTACCAACCTACTACCACAGGATGGAAATACCCCCTGGTGGTTGTTGCTACCAAACCCACTACCACAGGATGGTAGTACCTCCCTGGGGGGTTGTTGTCTACCAACCTACTACCCCCAGGACGGTAGTACCTCCCTGGGCAGTTGCTGTCTACCAACCTACTACCAAGGATGGTAGTACCTCCCCGGGTGGTTGTTGTCTACCAACCTACTACCACAGGGTGGTAGTACCTCCCTGGTGGGTTTTTGTCTACCAACCTACTACCACAGGACGGTAGTACCTCCCTGGGCGTTGCTGTCTACCAACCTACTACCACAGGATGGTAGTACCTCCCTGGGTGGTTGCTGTCTACCAACCTACTACCACAGGATGGTAGTACCTCCCTGGGTGGTTGTTGTCTACCAACCTACTACCACAGGACGGTAGTACCTCCCTGGTGGTTGTTGTCTACCAACCTACTACCCAGGACGGTAGTACCCCCTGGGTGGGTTTTTGTCTACCAACCTACTACCACAGGGCGGGAGTACCTCCCTGGGTGGTTGTTGTCTACCAACCTATACCACAGGATGGTAGTACCTCCCTGGGTGGTTGTTGTCTACCAACCTACTACCACAGGACGGTAGTACCTCCCTGGGTGGTTGTTGTCTACCAACCTACTACCACAGGACGGTAGTACCTCCCTGGGTGGTTGTCTACCAACGTACTACCTACAAAAATTCAGAAATATTGCAATAATTATTAAAAATAAAGGCATTTTGAAACACAATTAACCCCATGGAATTTGTTATTTTAGAAATCACTTACATCGAGGTCCATTATAACTCCTGTAATCATAATAACACAATTACAAATAAACCATGAAGTTTCTGTGCATAAGCCACTGGTCTAGTGGCTTATGCACTGGCCTGGAGTTTTATAACTCACTCGCCATGGATTGTAACCCGCCTGTTCTGTGGTTTGGATGGTCCATTATATTGAGAGGTTAGTGTGTGTTGCTCTAGGGTCCACTTGCTCTTAGTCTGCCACTGCCTCACTTATCACTGTAGATAGCAGCACCTGCACTAATCCAACACTTACCCCACGTCTCACTGGCTTATTGTTTTACCACCACCTCTCACCCCTATCTCTAGTATGTGTGTATTATAAATCAGTGCACTTCTCTGACATTTACGTGATATTTTTGTTTCACTTATTTTATAACTATGTAATACTCATAACTCTCAGCAGCTCCATGGGGAAGCGGAGAAGAATTCTTCCTTCATAAGCCATGCGTGTTGAAAGAAGCAACTAAAATGCCGGGAGCAAGGGGCTAATATCCCCTTCTTCTGTATGCATTGCTAAATGTCAAAAGAAGAACTTTTGTTTTCTTTTTAGGTCACCCTGCCTTGCTGGGAGACAGCCAGTGTGTCGAAAAAAAAAATTCTCGTCTACTTATAATAAAGTACTATTTCTATAAAATCAAGTACAGTAGTACCTTAAATAGTTAGGATAATTGACATATATAAACTACTTTATAAAAAGACCCTTATTATGCTTGGCATTTAGGCAGCCTTAACTCTAAAATATGATTACCATTACACGAAAATAAGAATATATAGCTTTTATTATATTGGAGGTATTTAGTAATGCAATAAAAGAAATGTAATTATTGATACACTAAGGATGGAGTTAGCTATGTACTTGAGTTGATGGATTG